ATGTCACCCAGGAAGGGGCACATTTCCCTATCTACAGAAGGTGCACTGAGGGCTTTGAAGGCCTTGACCTAGAAAGTGTTTAAATCCTAATTTGGGAAAGACCAGGTTCAACAGCATCTTCCTGTGCTCCCCCCTGCCCTATGCTCTGCAGGGCCATTTTAAAGCATGTGATGTGCCTTGTATAATAACAGCTATCATTGCAGGACGCTGAAAAAATATGGAAGGTGTTGAAGAACAAAATAGGTACGTTTTTCAGCTTAATGGTCTGAATTTGAATCAAAAGTCTTTCAAGTCACTGTTCCCTATTGCTTTACAATCCTGTTTTTCAAAGTTGATTCTAAAGAATAAGTGCAAAGGTTTGAATTGTATGTGTGATTCATTGGAGAAGTTGTTTATAAAAATGAAAAAAAATGACCACAATGTTAATGTTCAGTATTAAAATGTTGGTTATAGAACACCATACCTAAAACTATTCCAGAGTTCAAAGCCATGTTTTAGAGCTGGTTTATTCCCAGACTCGGTGAAATGCCCAAAGCACTGGGCTTCCTTGTGTTAGCATCAATCAGATTTACTGCTATGGCTTGCTGAATGGTCTATCCTCTCTACAGACAAGGACCATGTTCCCTTTGCTCCCCATTTGTCCTCAATGAGTAGCACAATGTCTTGTCTATAGTAGATCCTTTATCAACATTTACTCAATGAACAAATGACTAGATGTACAAAGACTAGGTGAATATATGCTAACAGATTAGGAAAACATTTCTGGATATTTAAATGTTTCTTACACTTTTTTACATGTTCCAATTTTTTCTACAATAGACACAATATAATTTATAATAATAAGGAGAGAACAAGATGTTATTTTTTATTGAAACTCAGAAACCTGAGATAAATTATTTGGAGTCCAATTTTTGATATAAGACCCCTGCTTTTGCTCTGCCCTGCTTTAACAAATCTATACCTATAAACTAGAACTCAGATACAAGGCAGGTTGAAAGGTGATTTTAATGTCAGTACCAAAGGATTTATGGAAGGGGTTCCATTAAATTGTCAATTAACCTAGGACATTTAAATGTTGATAAGAGTTTCAAAATAGTACATTTGTATACTAATTTCAAGACAGTCAAGGAAAACTTTTTTTTGTGAAAACTACTAGTTAGACATCTACTTTATCCTCTTAATCTAAACAGGTCATTTTCTCCAGAAAATGGGTGGCAACAAGTATTTTGAAGATAGGCTGAAGTTTGTACTTCATTTTTCTCTCTTAAAAAAGTGTACATATTTATGGAATACAGTATGACATTTCAATACTTATATACAACGTGTCAGATCAGGATAATTGGCATATTCTTCACCTCAAACGTATCATTTCTGTTGGGAACATATAAAATCTTGAAATACATAATACTGTTCTCAGTCATAGTGTCTGTCTGTCTCTCTTTCTTTTTTGGGGGGTAAGATTACTTTTGCCAAGCAGGCACTGTACCACTTGTGCCACACCACCAGTCCATTTTGTCTCAAACCTTGATCCTCTCAATCTCACCCTCCCAAGTAGCTAGGATTACAGGCATAAGCCACCAGTGCTCAGCCCCATAGTTACTCTTCTGTGCTATAGAACATTAGGACCTATTCCTCCCATTCAACTGTGCCCCTATACCCTTAATAATCCTATATCTTCCCTCTCCATCAAGCTTCCCAGGCTCTGGAAATCACTATTCTATTCTCTACTTCTTCAAGATCAAGTTTTTAGCTCCCAGATAAGTGAGAACTTGTGATCTTTGCATCTGTGTCTTATTTCACAAAACAAAATGTCCTCCAGACTCATACATGTCACTTTGTCTTTAAACTATGTGGTTTTTCCTGGTAAAGAAAAAAATTCCTAAAACATTGCATCCACTTATTCTTAGCCGGGAACATTTCATAATGGAAAACACAAAGCCACACATAGTTGTCCTCAATCCTGTTCTCTGTTTTCATATTGTGTCTGTCCCCCAACTGCCCTAGGCTGTAAAGGCACACATTTCACAATGTCCTTCTCATTTGGTTTTGTAGAAGCCCTATGCCCAGCTAAAAAAAGTAATTATCAAAGTTCTTCTGAGTGTCCCTCAACATTGTAATTAAAGTCTTGGTCCCTAGTGTGGTGCTCCTGGGAAGTGGCAGAAATTTGGAAGGTAGACATAGTTGGAGTCCGTATGTTACTGAGGGCACTGACGTCAGGGGATTGTGGGATTGCCAGTCTCTCCCTCTGATTTTCTGTTTGGTGCTGTGTAAGTACCGTGCACTGATTGAGCCACTGGAGCCACTTCCGTTTGGTGGTGTGAACTTCTTGCATATGGTCTGGCATCTCTACCAGATGATCAGACACAGCCAAGACCTGAGATGCCAGCACCATGTGCTTAAAACTTCAAACGGGTGAGCCAAGTCTGCTCTTTCTATCTTTAAGTTAACTATCTTAGGTATTTCATGGTAATTACATATAGCCAACTAATGTACCACCACCACCACCACCCTTACAGGGCTGGTCCATGTCTGCCTACTAAGTAATCTCACACACAGTCATACAACCCCATAGTCATAGCTTCTACCATGTGCTTTCCTTACAAAAATGCTATGGTCTAGTTTTCCCTCACCTTAATCAAAACTGATCTGTCTAGTATTTCTCTCATTCATGTCTTGGTTCATAATGACATGACAGTTTTTAATGAATAGGTTCCTGTGGTAGAGCTCATGTTTGCTTTTAACACCAAGGTGGTATAACACTGCCCTGAGATTGTGACTCTAGTGATGTTGACTTTATGGGTGCTTTACTGTTCTTGGTTTTGCATATTACACCAACTGTCTTTCAGAAATCCTGCCCAACCTACCATCTCATTCCAGTGCCCTTAGGAAAGAGTGTGAGGGAGACAGGAAGGACTAATAACTCAAGGAGCAGTTCCTGTGCTTTCCAAGTCCCTAGATTCTGTTCCTATGCTTTCTTCCTGGCGGGGCCAGTGGCATTTCCTAACAGAAGGAACAGGTACACAGTGAAAAAGAGGCCATCCTATCAGACAGAGAAGCAAATGGGAAATACACAACAAAATTCACATGGTCTGCCTAATCCCAGGCTTATCAAAATCAATTTCTCGTCAGTGCCCTATATTCAACATGGCAAGGAAAAGTCTTCCTTGTTGGATGAACAATCCCTTCTATTATGCAACAGTCACCCTTCATTTCATCTGAACAGAGGTTTTTCTACTGCAAGAAAGCCATCCTCAGGAGCAACTCAGGGTAGGAATTTCAGTGCCAGACTGGCTGGTGAATGTTTAGACACATGTACTATTTTTGCAAATCTTTATGGCTATTTCAGACTATATTTTTTGTGCTGCTTCCCTGACTTAACTTCAGAGCACTCTGTTTTGGCTGCTGTGGTTATGGTGGATGCACATAATTTCACGTGTCTTTGACAGTCACCTCTGCAGGTTCTCACTGCTCATGTATTCAGACCTGTGGCAAGGCTCCCCCTGTCCCCCCACTCCCTCTCCTTCATTCAGGGGATCACCATCTTTGCTAGCCTATCACCCCCAATACTCTCATTTCCTATTTCATTAGAACTCTAGCTCTTGAAGGTGAAATTGGAGCTTGGTTAAATAGCACAAATTGGCAGCCGGGGTCAATCTGGATCCAGGGTTCTTGACTGTCTAAAGCAGCAAATACACGATTTGAGTATGTAATTTAAAATATTCTGGGTTATAATTATACATATAATTGTCTTAGTTTATTTGTCATTGAGTCCTCACATGGCAGAAAAGCAGAAGAGACCAAACCTACTTCTGCAGGCCCTCTTTATTGGAGTAATTTTTCCATTTGTAAGGGCTCCACCTTCATGACCTAAACCCCCTTCCATTAGTCCTCACCTCCCAACACTGTTGGAGATTAAGATCCAAGCATGAATTTTAGAAGGGGAAAAAAAAACCATTGCAGTAAATTAAATGTAAAAAGAAACAGGTGAAATTAATTTTAACAATACATTTTATTTAACCCAATATGATGAAAATACTATGATTTCAATAATCAATATAGAAATTTTTAATGAGATGTTTTGTATTATTTAACCCAGTCTTTGAAAGCTGATGTATAATTTACACCTAGGGTACATGAGAATTTGGACTAGCCACATTACAGGTGCTCAAGAGCCACATGTGGACTAGAGTCACCACACAGGACAGTGCAGTGTGACAGGAACCATGGCATCTGTCCTGACTTGTTGTTTACAGAACTGTTAGGTACACTTCCTAAGGTTATACAGCTCATCAGTGGAAGAGGCAGTCATGGAATCCAGTAATTTTACCTTAACCCATGGCTTCACTCACAAAGCTGACTAGCAGCAAGGCTGGCCTAGAACTACATTCCTCATGCCTGCTCTGGGCTCTTCTACAGACATTGTCCTCTCCCTATCTCACCTTTCTCCTAAATAAGCCAAACACTTCACTGGAAGCAATCTGAGTGCAAAACAAGACCAAGTAAGTTAGAATTTTTCCCTATCTTTCAGAGGAGATAATTTTTTTATGACTTGTCACCCTTGTTCAAGGTTTTAAGCCACCAGTAGCAAATTCCTTTCAGGCAATTGTTCTCAGCAGAAGTGTCCATCCAGAATCATCTATGGAGTTTTTATGAAATTCAAATGACTGGCTCCCTACCTAGAATTCTGGCCTGTGAGGGTACATACTCATGCAGATTTCTATTTTTATTTTTAAATGACTCCCAAAGGAGTCTGATACACGCTACTAACTCACAAGGATTTCACCAGCTGCCAGATGGCCACCCATATCCCTAACCCCTGGCAATGTGAACGCACATCAGGTTGGGAGTTTGACAAGTCAGGTAAGAGCCTGGTCTTAAGAAACATGAGAAATAGACACCCTGAACACCTCCCAGGGCGGGGCTACCTGGCTTACTTTCCCCGCTCTTTCTCTGCACCCAAGGACACCTTTAGCTTCATTTCCTGATCTCACAGCCAGAGCCAGTAGATCAGGCAGGAATGCGGCAGACAGGACTTGTGTTCATGGCCATGGCTGTCTGTGTGGCTCTTCCAACCTCGGAAGGTGAGTTGGGAGGTGCCAGCCACCTGGGTCTCCAAAGGGAGGGGAATTCCTCCAAAATCAGTGCTGGAAGGAGTGAGATGGGGGAGGAATCTATCTCTTCAAATAGGAGTCACCACTGATTTCTGATCATCTACAGAGAATGTTGTAGGTATAAATTCTAGATCATTAATTTCAGGAAGCCCATTTTAACAGGAATTATTAGTAATCTGCCACCTGGAGGATAAGGTACACTTTTGAGCCGAGACTCCTTTTCTGATGACAGCATCTTAGACTGTCCCCAGGTAAAGGCTAGAATAAAGTCCCTATTGTTCATCTGTCTCTTTCCTCACCCCAACCTGTTAAATTCTCTGAACATAGCATACACATTCCTGGGGGGAAACATAGACTGGATCGACTGGGTTCATGTTAGGTAAACTGCAGTTTTCCTGAGCAAAGTCAGCCCTGTGGGTTAAAACTTCCGTATGGCCTTTAGGAAGGAAATCAGCATGAAGGAGACTGAACCATATAAATTATGTCAAAGGGAATTTATCTTGTGATTTGCTAGCATGTATGTAGAGATTTTAACTGCATTTGGACTGGAGGGAACCTATTTCACAAATAGCACTCACTACCCTATATAGAAAACTCTAAATATATAGAAACTAAATACTTAGCTGATATGACTAGTCATCTTTTCTTAAGGTTTACCTTGAACAGATTCTCTGAGTCCAAAGTAGAGGTGGAATACAAGTTGTGTTTGGTCCACTTTTTAAAAAGTCAAGCCAAGGTTCAAGCCCCAGTAAAGAAAAAAAAAAATTCTCAAGCCAACATTTTAAAAAAAAAATAGGTTTTAAAAAAAGAAAGAAAAGACTGAGGGCATAGCCCAGGTGGTAGAGCCCTTTCTAGCAAGTGCAATTCCCGAGTTCAACCCCAGAATCGCAAAAATAATATAAAATAACAGATTTCACATGCACACACTTATACAGACACATATAAACTGGATTTTGATCTTCGGTGGTAGAACACTCACCTAGCATACATGAGGCCCTGGGTTTGATTTGCAGCACTGCAAAAAAATAAAAATAAATCAGATCTGACCACAATGATTCCAAACACCCTGGGCAAGAATGGACAGAAGTAGACTAGCTTCTGTCCCTCTCCTCTGAGGTTTGCTGTATCACATTAACTGTCTGGTCTCTGTATACACTAGTATACTAGTGTACTAGTATACAGACATTCCTATCAGGCTTAAATTTTAAAAATCTGGATAATATCTTCTTAATTTCTAGCAATCTACATTTGTCTTATATAGACAAAAGTCTGTGATCTTATGTTTCAGTTACATTTTTCAGAGAAATTCACCACAGGAAACTTAGGTCTTTCACAGTTTCTCAAAGGCCTATCTCAGGCTTTACTTCTGCTTTTGACAACCCCGCCAACTCAAAAAACTTTTTTTCACACAAAGCTTTCAAATAAATGCGCTGTTGCCAGCTGTCCTCACAACAGCCCTCCTCCAGGAAAGGGAAAAAGGGAAGGGAAGACAAAGGGGAATGAGGGAGGCTCTGCCTTACTCAGAACCAAACCGCAAAAGGGACTAAGTCCTGATAGAGAAGGTGGGAAGCAAATTGCAGAAGTGTTTAAAAGCTACTGCTGGTGATGATCATAAAGAGGAATGGGAGGCCAATAGTAGTCTTTTGGTTCAGTCTCAGGGATTTACCTAAGGCACTTTGGGACACAGGAAGATCACAATGCCTGACAAGCCCCAACCTTCTGCCATTTTAAAAGGAATGATTTTGGATTAAAATATATGAAGGTGAAACTGAGAAGGGCAATACCACTGCTTTTCTTAGCAAATTTCCATTCATGTGTGTGCACAAGCAAGCACTGGTTCCTTGTGGGTGGTACTAAGTGATTTGGGCTCCAGGGTATGGAAGACCAGAAGGAAGGTGAGGAACACTTGGCAGTAAAGGGAAGGGAACAGGTGGCCTTGGCAACTGTTGCAGGCTGGAGGAGGGGATAAGGAAATGGCCTGTGCCAGTTTGGGGACTTAGGGAAATACATTTTGTTCTTTCAGGCAGAAAGCTGTTTCATTATCTTAACAGTGCCTTAAACAGCTATCTTGATATAATAGCTCAATAACTGGCATTGCCAAAGTGCTTTGCATCAATCAGGAAATTGACTTTCCCCATAATTGAAAGCCCTGGATTCTGGGCTGGCAGAATAGCTCATGTGGTAGAGCACCTGCCTAGAAAATGTAAGACCCTGAGTTCAAACCATCCAAAGGTAGGATACATCCCATATCTACTGACCTGGCTACCTGCTCAAAGAACTCAGTACTAAGTCCATAAACGTATCTGTCATCCAATTTCAGTAGCCATGAACCAGATTATTTAAATCCACAATCTAGGGCTTTGTGGGCCTACTTGTTTTTATTGTACTTTAAGACTCCACTTCTGTCCTACAGATGCAAGTTTGGATATTTGCTTCACTGACTCCCAAATTGTCTTACTATTAATAACCTACTTCTCAGAGCCATTTAGAAGGCTCCTGAGTCACATAGATACTTCTACAGAGTTAATCCTTGCACCTTAAGAGAAAACCTGTATTTTGCTTGTTTTAGTCATAGGATATATGCTCAGGAGGGTTACCACAAATATACATTTGTGCTTGAAAGCTGCTCTGTACTGTTGAACCCTCCATTTACCAGGAGTGATCCCCAAGAGGTCTGACATGATGGGCCACGTGATCAGCTATCCTTTGGTTTTTCTCCAAAGAAAATACCATATCCAGCATTTCTTGAATCCTATATCACTGTTCAATTAAGTGTTTACATTTTGGCTGCAAAAGCCAATCATATCTACAAAATAGCTATATGTGGGTTTTTTTTTTTTTTAGTGTCTTTTCTATGTCTAGAGTAACAGTGTGATATAATAGCAGATGGGACCATCAGAAGGAAAATACCTTCTTTACTCTTAGTGTTGATTTTTAAATTATTTTACTATGTTATTTGACATGTAAACATAAAACCAGGTATAAATCCTTTGTGCAATTATCAATCTCTTCTGCAAATGTAAAATCAAAATAAGTTTAAAATTTAAAAACACAACTACAGAACCAAGATGATTTCAACATGACATTAATTTAATATAATGGTTAAGATCTGGCTAAAGCTAAAATCACTATTCTGAATGTGAATATAGTCCAATGCTCGAGGTATAGGTTTTGAGTCTGAGTCTAGTGTATATATTACCAGGTCCAGAATCAGAAGTGCTGATTTTCCATCTTTTTCTATTTTAATCTCTATGACATAATTTTGCCCCTTCTCAGCATGAGTAAATTATGAAGTTCACTCAGTTTTTTATGATTGGTCTATGACAATTAAGATATTACTGTACCTGGTGACTATACTACCATGAACACAAGAAAAATTCAAATGTCCTGAAAGTGATCTTTCTAAGATGGTCTTTCAGCCAGGCACCAGTGGTTCTTGCCTGTAATCCTAGTACTTCAGAGGCTGAGAAAGGGAGGATCGTGGTTTGAAGCCAGCCCAGAAAAATAGTTTGGGAGACCCAATCTCCAAAATAACCACAGCAAAATGGACTGGAGCTGTGACTCAAGTGGTAGAACACCTTCTCTATAAGCATGAAGGCCTGAGTTCAAACCCTAGTCCCACCAAACAAAAACTTCTTCCAAAAGGTCCAAACATGTCCATTTAAAGATTACCACTGAAGTGACATATTCGTATTTTTTAATTGTCTGGAGACTTCATGGATCCTGAAAACACATTTATGACCTTTCTTCCAGAGAAACTGTGGGCTTTGGATTCCAAAAGACTAAGTCAGAATTCTAACGACATGAACTAGGGAAATTGTTCAATTTCTCTGAGCCCATTTCATATGTGTAAAACAGGAAAACATTATCTATCTTACCAAGTTATTCTCATGATGCCTGGCATATAATAATTGCTAGTTCCCTTATCTTTCCTCCCACAAGGTTCTGTTCTCACTAATTTTTTAAATTAAACTTACTAGAAAAGTGGGGCTGGGATTTAGCTCAGTGGTAGAGCACATGTGTAACCTGTGCAAGGTTTTCTATTTTGCTGTGTTGTATATTACAGTGCTTTTCAAACTGATTTTTTTTTTTTTGAGACAGTATCTCCTTGTGTGGCCCAGGTTAAACTCACCAATTGGTGAATGATTCACCAATTCGTAATATGTGACATTGCTATTCCCAAATAAAGTCCTCTTAGGTACTTTTTGGAACCCAGGGATAATGTCTGGAGGAGTGGAAAGTGGGTGGGAGGTTTTCTTTACAATCCTCCTGCATCAGCCTCCTGTGTGCTAAGATTACAGATGTGCACCACCATGCCCAGCAGCTCTGGGAACCACTTTGAGTAGCAAGATAGCAATAATATATCCAAGTAAGAGAAGAAGCTGGTTCACCTCTCTATAATGGCAGGATTCCTTTCTTAAACCCCAGAATCTAATTTTTATACCAGAAATTTGGTGTAGTGCTTCAGTGTTGGCCTTCACAGGTATTGAGCCCTGGAAAATCTTTAGAACCCTCTAGTGATCAAACTTGGATCACAGAACCAAAACAGGGACTAACATTCCTGTTAAATCATTCATCTGCTTAATATTGGAAACTCCAAACCAACAGAACCAATAGAAAAGCCCAGTCAAAAAGACAAATAGTAATGCTTTTAATCAGATACAAATAGCATCATCTTTAAAATATTTAATATAATAGATAAACAATTTATTATATTGAGATGACTCCCAATTACTTGAATGTGGAGAGATGGTACTTTTGAAAAGCTCTATGTAATTTTAGGAAATTTGTGACATAAAGCCTTAAACAAAAACTGAGAATCCTATTTTAAAAATAAAAATAGTTTAATGACATTAAAAGCCTTCAAACAAGATAAAATGAAACAGTGATGTAAGACTGTATCAGAGCTTAGTTCAGTCCAAGAAACACTAATTTAGCACTTATGGCAGGCACTATGCTATGTGGTGAGG